CCTGCCTTCCTTCTCTCCCTCTTTTCTTTCCTTCCTTCCTTCCTTCCTTCCTTCCTTCCTTCCTTCCTTCCTTCCTTCCTTCCTTCCTTCCTTTCTTCCTTCTTTCCTTCCATTCGTTCTGTCTCTGTTTCTGTCTTTGTCTCTGTCTCCCCCTTCTTTCTTCTCTCTCTCTTTTTTTCTTTCTTCATCCCCAATGCTCCCAGCTTTCTCTCTCTATTTCCCTCTTAATTTACACACAAGAATTTGACAGTTTGATTAGGTAATATGCAGTGGTAGGGCCAGCATTTAAATCTACATCTATATATCTATAGAGCCTCTTCTCTTTCTACTCACCATGCGACCACCAGAGTGTTGAGCGGGGACTGTGGTCTCAGTTGACTAAATACAGTCATAGGCACAGAGGGTGCTGCATAAATGACCAATTGGCAGACTTCTGACAGCCTGGTCTTAAGCCAGTGACCCACAGAGCTTCTTGGGGTTTGGCACCATGCCTGGTATGACTTGATCCTTTAACTGTTTCTTTCTTTTGTCAGCCAACCCCCTGAGGGAGCCCTGTCTCCTTCTTGAAAGTCTGTGCTGGAATCAGAGGTCTCCATGAGGGTTCCGGAAGCCCACACTCAGTGCTGTGGTTTACCCTGGGAACTGGCTGTAAGGTAATGCTCTGAGATCAGTCCTTCCAGCTCCCAACTCAAAGATCCACAAACTCCAGGCTCCCAGGGGTTTTGAGCTGCCAGTTATGATGAAATATTAGCACAGAAGAAAATAATTTTTTTCTATTTTGGGTTTCTAATCAAGGCAGCATGGTTACAGGATGATTTATGTACTTGTAAGTATTTTCAAAAAGTTCCTTTTAGTATTGTTCTTTTTCTCATCATTCCTCTTATCACTTGGGCTCAGCTTGTTGCTTCTCAGGAATCTGCCTTTTTTTCTTCCACCTACAAAATGCCAAACACATGTTCCCAATCTAGCTCTATGAAACTGAAAATTTTGGGTGAATGATTTAGAAAAAAGTCCTATGAACTGTTTTGCACACAGCAAGCCCCAAAGAGGTTTCAATTGCAGTATTTGGAGATGAAATTGTCTCTCTGAAAACATACAAACAAACAAATCTTAGAGAAAGAGAAAAGAAAGAAAAGAAGAAAGAAAAAAAAGAATAAAAAGAAAGAAAGAAAAAGAAAAAGAGTTATCTCAAAGAGTTCTGTTCTTCATTCATTGTTTGTTCATTCAAGCAATGATTTGACACTCATTGAGAATTTACTCTGCATTAGATGCTATTCTGGGTATGAAGAACACAGGCAAATCTATTCCTCCAGGAGTTCATAGTCTATGATATTAGCCAACTGAGTAATATGGCTCGCAGAGCACTGCACTGTCTACCACCCAACCCTTTGAGTCTGTCTTTGACAGCTCTTCTCAACTAGTACTACTCTTCTCCTCACCCTACTTCCCTAACTTTTCCCACTTACGTTCTTCTCCTTCTCTCTTTTGATCATGAACTTCTCTCTACACTGGACCATTTTCTGCCTGCTCTCCAGTCAACTAACTGATTCTTCAAGGCCAAACCTAAAAGTCACACCCCACAGGAAGTTTTTCTGACACCCCCTTTCAAGTTGGGTTTGTGCTCCTCCCATGTGACCTCAGAGTTCCTTCCTATTATAAGACTTAATATGTATTTAAAAAAAAATAATAATTAGCTGCTTCCTTGCCTACCTTTCTCACTAGACTGTAAGTAGGCTTCTTGAGGACAGGGGCTAACTTATCTTGGTCACAAATATGTGCCCAATGTGTGGCCATAGTAGGTGCTCAATAAGTATTTTTGGACCAAACATGTGGCCTGGAAACAGATAAGGGGAATCGATTTTAAACTGTACCTCCCACCCCAGAGTTCTTATGAGAATTAAACGAATTGATATTTGTAGAGTACTTAGAATAATGCCTGCATCTAAAGAATAGATTCCAACTCTGTGTAATAAATGCTAGGATAAACCTTGTGAGGAATTCTAGAAGAAAAGAAGAGAGCTGCCCTAATACAGCCTGAAAACCAGGGTGGATGAGGTCTTAGGAAACATTTTAAAGAAAAGATAAGTCTTGAGGATGAATAGGAGTTGTTGAGAAGGGCAAAGAGGAAAATTTCTCTGAGGTTGAGGGAACGGCCCATGTAGAAGCACAAAGGTCGCAGAGAACATGACGACATGTTTGGGAGAATTTAGCTTTCTTGTGTGGTTGGAGGAGAATGGATCTGGGTGGGCGTGAGTGTATAGATGGAAAAAGGAGATGTGTAAATCAATTACAGATAGTCTCATGGTCCAGTGAAAAGGGTGGTGAAGGAAGAATAAGGGGACTAGATTTGAGCCCCAATTCTGGCACTAACTCGTAAGACAATATTGTGTAGAATACCACTTTTCTTGACCTTAGTTTTCTTACCTACCCATATGACATACACCACGCATTAGATGATCTCTGAAGCCCCCTTTTATCTTGGACATTCAGAGAATCAGGGAGAAAGAAGAGCTTCTTTCGGGCAAGGGCCACATGCCTGGTGCTTTGCAAATATTACTACTGATACCACCATACTTAGATACTATTACTTCTTCTCCTAGTATTTCTAGTGTTATACTAGCATGATATTACTTCTATCATTACTATTATATTATTATATAGTTCTTACTACTATTACCACTATACTGTTATATAATTGCTATTACTATGCTACTCTGATACATTATTATTACATGAACACTACTATTATTACCATGCTACTATTACTACTACAGTACTAGAGCTATTATACTATTCTATTACTATACTATTGCACTACTAGCATTATCATTACTGCTGTACAATCACTATTTCTAACTACTACTGCCAGAAATGAAAATTAATACCTATTGAGATCCTACTTAATGTCAGGCACTGTTTTACATGTATTGACTCTTAATCCTCCCAACAAGCCTAGGAGATAGGTTCTGTTATTATTGCCATTTTACAATTTAGAAAAATCAAAGCTGAGAGAGGTTAGGTAACTTGCTCAAGAGGCTGAGTTTGAAATTCAAGTAATACGGCTTCAGAGCTATGTTTCTCCTAAGATCTCTGTTATGGTCTCTGTTGAATAACTAAATGGAAGATTGATTGATTGATTGAATAAAATTGAGTTCCTCCGTTACTGTCTCTGAAATGTAATTTTAATAAAAAAAAAATCATAGGAAAATTATTATCTACTGGAGCCAGAAATAGGAAAAGTTTCCTGAGTCAGGTTGACTGAGTCTTGAATCTATTAAAGCCTTACCATCCTTCATGTGTGAAGCATTAGCTATAGGACATGAAAGATAAAGTGGTTTATCTGATTTATTCATAATTTAGCAGTATGAGGACATGAAGCAAGAGTATGCCTGTGCACATATTATGAGGGTCCCTGAGACATTCATGGTTCTCTTGGAGAGAGCAGGGTAAAATGTTTACCTAAAGGTCCCTGGCTTACGCTCTCACATACCCACAGAGTTGCTGCCACTCTGCCAAGTAAGGAGTTATATGAGCTCTACAGTGTGCATAGGTCAGTTCTTTTAATGGTCCCCAATATTTTAGAAACATAGTGAAAATGAAAACCATCATTCCTGGCATCACGGGGCCATTGATGAATGAAGGGTGTTTATGGGAAGACAAGCACCTTCACACATTATCCATTTCCAAACCCTCTAGAAGCATATCTAAGAACTTCTCATTAACTCTATTCCATGGTTATCGGATCTACTAATTTGGAATTTCCCCTGTGGCCCTGTGATTGGGTTTGGCATCTGTGCTTCATCTCCCTGGATCCTCTGGGCTCTGTCTTAGACTGCTGGAACATTTTGCTCCCACAGCTGTTGGAAGCAACCCGTTGATGTAGCCAGAGGCAGTTGCTCAGCATCTTAACAGCAAGACCAAAAGGGGTGAAAAAAATAGAAGTCATGGTTAGTAAGTGACTGACCTCATTCTGTAGGAATTCCTTCTGGAAAGAGAGCTGCGGAGTGTTGTGACAGGCTCTAAGTCATTTGTAAAAATGTTTATCATGGAATTCTAGCTAAAAAAAAAAAAAAAAAAAACCTACTCAAGAAACTTCCTGGTAACACAAATGGAGTCTGCTCAGAGGCCCCAAAGGGGAGTCCTAGAAAACATTAGCCTGGTGAGAGAGGATGTCTGCTCCACATTGGGCTCAGCTGAGGCTGCAGTGGCATGTGAGGTATCCAGTCCACTAGAATGGTTAAAAGAATCTTCTTGTTCTTAAGCCAGCTCAACTTAAAAGGCTGGCTGTGGGATATATGAGGAAAAAGTGCAAAGCAAGCTACTATTTACCGAGCATGGTGCTAGGAATTACTATTTCCATTTTTCAGAGGCTTAGACTGATTAATGAATTTTCCTAAATTCACAAAGTTCGTAAACTCCAGAGTCTGGGTTCAAATCCTGCATGGTTGCCTTTCTTGAGCGTAAAGTCATGCATTCTACATATTTTTCTTAATCCATGGCACTATTCAATGTCATAGGTAAGTGAAATCTCAGAATATCAGGGTTTGGAGGGCCTTAGACACCCTGTGGTCCAATCTTCTCACTGCACAGATGGGAATGGGCCTAGAGAGAGAAAGATCTTGCTTAGACTCATACAAAGGCCAGGGCCAGAATAGAGGCTGGCTGAATCTCAGTTCAAAATGTTCTTTTCTGACCAGGAATATTGCTCTGAATACATACTTAGTATATTTTGCTGGTTGATTTTTTTTTTTTTAGATGTAGTTTGTAGCAACACCATCTCTTCTTCTTCTAGGCAAGTCTGCTAAATGCTAAGAGTTCACCTTTTGGCCTAACACTCTTTTTCAGCTGGTGGTTATCGGCATTAGGTGTGTAAGACCTTCCCTCTTTAGCCCAGTGAGCAACAGTTTGGTGTGAGACACTGGAGATGTGAAGATAAATGAGTCATGGTACATGAGCCCTAGGAACTTACCAACAAATGAGGGAGCCAGACAGGAGAGCAGCTTATTTTAATACAGTATTTAATTATAAAAAGTATATACCTGAAGGGTGTAAAAGAAGAGATTAGGGGCAGAGATTATTACCACAGCCTGGGAAAATAAAAGGGCCTTCCTGGAAGATTCATGAATTAACTTGATTAATGATTTCACTCATTCACCAAATATTTAATGTGTACCTCTTCTGTGGTAGGTACTCTTCCAGATATTAGGGGATACGGCACTAAGAAAGTCGAATGTTCTTCTGTCTAGAGGAAAAAATAAAACACGAATAAGTCAATAAATATTTATAATTAATTAGTTAAAGTAGCAGTATCTAAAGAGACTATAACAAGGCAAAGTTCTAGAGAACGATATGGGGTTGAAGGTTTATTTTTAACACAGTGGCCAGAGAAGGCCTCTTCAAGGGGATGTCTTTTGATCAGAGACCAATGGAGAAGAACTTTGAAAAT